GCCAGGGTAGAACAATGCCATATCTGTGTGCAGACAGATGCCAGGCTTCCATTGTCTTTTCATGACTCAAATAAGGAATCGGTGCTTTTTACCTCAAATAGCATCTAAAATTCCATTTCAACATGTTTCTATAGATGTGAGCTTTTCTGCAGGAAGAAACAGGGAATTTAGGTACTGCTGAGGACTATTCATTCATTCTATTCATATTTACATGTTTAATTGGCCTTCAGTGATTATAATTCTAACATAATCAATTTTATGGAATTGTGTTGATGAGGTTGAAATGGAAATATACACACACATGCACGTTCATACATACACATATATATATATACATATGCATAAATAGAAATATACATAAAGTACATACATATCTCAGATGCTGAGGACAGTTAAAATCATCACTAAATTCCACAGTAGCTAGAAGCCACACCCCTCCACCTTCCTCAGAAGCAAATTTCTTCACAATGTGGAAACATTCATTCACCTTAATTTGCTATTTTCAAAAGGTATTGTTAGGTCATTCAAATGTGTGTCCTGATCCTCTAAGAACCTTTTAATGAAAATTAGTAAAACTCATTAGAATGATAATTAGATTGTCAATACGGGTACAGTACAGCAATTGCCATTCCTTATTGGGTATTAACTGTTTGATCATTAATCACAATTACCTAAAATGCATATTTTGCTTGAATTAGTCTGCTGTTTATATCTGTTGCCCTTTATTAGAGGGAAAAATCCTGATCTATATTGTCCAAAGACATGGTTTTAGAATTTGTTTAAATGGACTCTCTAAATCAGTACTTCCTATTGAAATCTGAATGTCAGTGGCCTTGGAGTCTTAACTGAAGAGCCTGTGGTGCCTCATATTTTGCTTTCAAAGCTCTTTTAAAAATCCATATGATTGTTTGATTGTTCTCAAAAGTTAAAAATATAAAAGTGAGCCTAAAATTAACTTCTAGCCTAGGAAGCAGAATACTTAGAAAGTATTCTGTTTAGAAAATACTATGTTTGTAAGAGAAGATATATTTGAATATCAAGGATTAAAATGATAGGACTGACCCTTTTCAGTATACCTCTACCTTTCATCTGACTTTCATGGCATGTGGCAGAATTCAATGCCAATGGAAAGATGCAGATAGGACACAGTGCAAAGGCTGAGGATGATAGGCCTCCAAGGGAGCTGGCCTTTCTCTCATCTGATAAGCTGTTTCCTGTCTGCTTGGTTTGATTTTGTCCTTGTCCCTGCAGACCACGGCATATCAAAAGCTTCTTTGCTGATAGTAATAATCTGTCTGCTGTGTTTGAGGGGATGACTTTGTAAAGACAGCTCCTAAACTTATTCTGTGATTTTGCATTGCTATTTTGGTTTTCATTTAACCTGAAATCATACAGTTCTGTCATTGTTTTAGTATTGATCCTACAATGTCTTCATATACACGTGGATGTCTAATGATGACTTTTGAAACTAAGAACTGGCATTGAGCTCACTTCAGAGACTGAAGGCTTGGTGGCCAGACTGCTGTGTTAAAACCGTAAAAATCATCTTTAAGATGTTTTTGTTATTATTATTATTATTATTATTATTATTATTATTATTATTTTAAAGGTTCAACCCAACAGACATAGGGGTATGTGAGTTTTATATACATCTGTCACATTATATGTATAAGTGATTTTCACACATACATTTAAAATAAAGCCATTTAAGTGACCCTTGCTGCTTTATCATAAGCAGAATTGAGCTTCACATTTCTTCATAGGTATTGGAATTGGAATTTTTAGAGGCAAACAACAGACTCAGGCAGCCCCAGTAGAGGAGGCTCAGCAACCCATCTCCAGCATGCCAATTAAAGAGCTGATATGATTGATGGTGAAAGGAGATGGGAAGATTGATTTATTCAGTGTGGCCCCATCGGGAAGAAAGCAGATAAAGGGGTCCAGTGACCCCATATTCATTTTCCAGGTACTGACATGCACTTTTGGTTTAAGTAAAGAAAGACTTGGGGCAAGGGACAAAGAAGTCTGTGGAGCTGTGATGTCCTGGTGAAATAGACGTCTAGTTGCCCATTGCCTGCCTCACTTCTGCCTCTGCAGGGTCATCCTAAGGAACGACCCGGTTTTATTGCTGCTCTAGCAAGTAGCCTGGACTTCCCATCCTGGACAATTACCCCCATTTGGATGAAGTCTGTTCTGTATGCTCATTGTCTGGACATTGTGTGAACCCATGTCACAAAGATGTTTATCAGTCATTTGGTTCTGTTTTTCTGGGACTTCAACATCAACTCAGGGGAGGTTAATAAAGCAAAGGCAGAGCTAACAGGACAGATGGAGTTAGTGAGACTGAGGCCAGTGGGGTGTCCTCCTTCAGTTGCTCCTATGGCTGGATGTTTTTTAGTGTTCAGTACAGGTTTCGTGTTTGCTTCCCCTTCATCCCAGTCCTGTGATCACCATCAAAAGAATCCTCACAAGATACTCAGGGCATAGTGTATATCATAGACTATAGTGAAGCACTCTCAAGGGGTGAGGGCTGGTACAGGTCAGAGAGGTCATTGTGCCAGCCGACATTTTAGGCAGCCTTTATACTTTTTCTGCATTTATTTTTTTGAGACCAGATCTCCCTATATAGCCATCCTGGCCTCTCTCATAACAGTATTCCTTCCTCATTCTTTCAGAATTCTTTTTTATACTTTTTCCTGTCCAAGTGATTATCAGGCCCACTGGAAATGAGCTGTTGTTATGGGACATACCCATTTATCCAGCTGTAGTGGGAAGGCATAATGCTATGTCCTTGCGCTTTACTTGTGAGCCCTTGGCTGGAAAGGAATGATAAGGTAACAGCTCCATCCACCCTTCTGCAAAATCATAAAGTTACTTAAAATATCAGGAGACTTTATTTTGCAATTCTTTATTTTTCTGTTTTGTAACTGATTTGGGTGGTTCTTGCACATAAATGTAGATTACCACGTGGCATCACAATATTAAAAGTTTGGACAAGCCTGGGCCCTTCCAGCTAGTTTAGAATGTCATGTCTCCACTCAAGGCCAGAGATAAGACTCTGTTCCCCTTCTTCTGGCCAGTAATTGGAGTCCTAGAGTTTTACTTCCTGTTTTCACAAGCTGCTTATTATGAAGAAGGGGTTCTTCCTGGTGACTTGCAAGGCTGTTAATACCGAAGCAGGTACACTACAGCCTATGCTACCCATTCCAGAATTATGTTTTCTTTCTTTGGAAATGAGGTGTTGTTACAGGACATCCACATACATCCAGCTGTACAGATGGAGATGGGCTAACAATAAAATATTCACACTTTATTAGATAGGGATTTTATTAGTCTTAGTGCAATTTCCCTGTGGCATTCACTGGTAGATTATTGGCTTTTAAAATGTCACTTGACTGGAATGGAAGTTAATTAGAGGCCTGCGATGTCTAGAAGGCATGTCAATTTCTATAAGTAATGACCTTCGGGTCTTCTGTCACTAGAAAGAGCAGCAAGTGAATGTGCTGGCTATAACCTAGACTTTCTTAAAGTCAGTGTTTGGAACTTTTATGAAACTTGACTAAAGTTTCATTTATTTCTTTATGAATAAAGATATAAGAGTAGTGTATTTTTCATGGGTTTCTAATTTTATCTTTCAAGCAGAGAAAATGAAATTTAGCAACTTTTGTACTTCAGCTTAAAATATGTCCTTTTTTTATTCATTTAACTTGCTGTCTTCAGGTTTCTAAAGATTTTCAGACTCTCACAACAAATGTACTTTACTTTATAAAATTCTGTATTTAAGCCGGGCAGTGGTGGCGCACGCCTTTAATCCCAGCACTCGGGAGGCAGATCCAGGCGGATCTTTGTGAGTTCGAGGCCAGCCTGGTCTCCAAAGCGAGTTCCAGGAAAGGCGCAAAGCTACACAGAGAAACCCTGTCTCGAAAAACCAAAAAAAAAAAAAAAAAAAATTCTGTATTTAAATTGTGTGTGTGTGTGTGTGTGTGTGTGTGTGTGTGTATGCAGGCATCTACATTCCAGATGCTCACGAGGAAATCAAAGGATAAAGGAGCTGAGTCTTTCTTATATTTATTATATATTACGTAGTCATTGGTAATACCTCTATAATACCTTAGAAAAATTAGCAGTTTATAAATTAGCAGTTTATAGTATTAAACTTAAAGGACAGAAACTAACATGTTAGAGTCAAGAGTGGCCATGAAATGCTTGCATTAGGTCATGCAGACTTGTCTCATAGAAAGAGCAAACATCAGAGAATATTTCTTAGAGACTGTAACAAATTACAAAACCACTGAATATCTTATAATCTCCTAAAGTCTAATCTGTTATTTGTCTCTTAAGAAGGGAATTTAATACATTTGTATTTACTGTATTTGCTATTAAGTTTGTGCTATTTCTGGCCCTATATTTCAACTCAAAAGTACCCAAGGTAAATAAAGCATCCTCATGCTTCCCCCTTACTTCATCATACTACAGGCAAGTGAAATGAAACCATTTCCATATGTGTGCATTCTGAGTTTACAGTGTTTCAAATAATCTTTGAAACAGATAAGAATATACTCAGCATATAGGAAATTCTAAACATGCTATTATAAAAGTGCCAATTTGGTTGCCATATAATTGTTAATATTTCAACGTCATTCTCTTTCTACTGACTGAAATAATTAGTTGTATTAAGAAAGGATTATACTCCAGCCAATATATTGTCTTCATTTCATTAAAATATTTTATAAAAGAATTTAAATGTAAGTCCTTGAAGAAAAGCCTCTGTTCCTGATGAAAACAGGAAAGGTAGATCAACTCCATGGTATTCAAGAACAGTAGTAGGTTAGATTGCTAACTGATTTAGAATTTGTGAATCATAAATAAGCACTGTCTATTGCTTTTCATGCCCTGTAATTCATTATAATATCAAAGCTCACGGATAGTGTGTTACATTATAATTCCGTGTTCCTCTGGTCATTGCAACATGTGTCTAAGATTTACTGTTTCTCTTTCAGCGCCTGGCTATGGAAGCCGAGAAGGTCCAAGCAGCCCACCAGTGGAGGGAGGATTTTGCAGTAAGGACCTTTTTTATAATAACTTCATTTAAGTTGACCAGTATTTTTGTTTGCATAGTTTTGATCACATTGCAATATATTCAGTGATGGATGGAATTTTACAGTGTCATAGGAATTTGACCCCAAACTGCCAGAGTCTATTCTTTTTTGAGTGACCAGGACCAATTAAATTAGTTAGAATATTTATGGTCATATTTATGTACAAGAAAAGAAAGACAAAATATATTATCTCACATTCTTAAGGACATTTGAAAATATATTAAAGCAGCCTTGAATCATACTCTGTGAATAATCTTCATAGTTATTTTGAAAACCAAGTTGAATCTAACTGGTTTGTGTAAGAAAACACATGTATTTTGCCACTGTCTTGCTGGGGGAAGTGACTGAAGGGAGCACGTGAGTATCAAGTGGTTCCGGTTTGCTTTGTTTGAGTTTGGCTTCCCACTACACTTTGAACTACTTTTGGAATTGCCTGTTGGCTTTGGATTTCACGGTTTCTCTTTTATTTAATAAGCTTGTGTTCTAAGGGATGCTGTGTTAATTATACAACATTGCAGAAACCCTCATTGTAATTACCTATCTACTCTGATAGCCAACGAAAAGTATATCTGTAGATACCCATCTACTCATTACCTATCTACTCTGATAGCCAACGAATGGGGGCCAATCTCAACTTGTCAGCTGAAGTTCTTCTGTGACATAGTTGATGCCTGTATTTATAGTGGAGGTGTTTTCAGTCTCTGATCACTGATAAACTCCAGACAACTCCTTTTTAGCATAGAATCTTCCCCCAACCCACTGATGCTATTTCAAAAAGGACTAAAGTGTGAGTGCCAGTTAATGATAGTTTCTGAGATCTTATTCTAAAATGTATTTGATTTAAAATTCAGGAACTTGTATATCAGTAGGTCTAGGATTTAGCATGGAATGCTTTGTTATTTTGCATATATATATATATATATATATATATATATATATATGGAAAGGAAAGTAGTCTAAATAGCATGTTGGGTTTTTTATAAACCTCCTGGCCTTACATTTCTGATCCTCCTTCTTTATCTACTAATTGGTATCAGACAATCTATTAAGTAGTGACTCTAGTTGGCTGTCATCTTGTTTGATTTTCGCAGTAAATTGATCATACTGACTGAATTGTTGCGTCTTACTAGATATTGGATTTCCCCAGTTGTTTGTCATGGTTATGTTAATAAAGGTCAGCTTGTCACCTGAAATACATGAGATGAAATTGTCAGACAAATGAACATCCTAAGCACTGTTAAGACTGACAAACATGGGCTTTTGGAATGAGAGGGTTAGAATGTGATTAGTGCCTTTGAGATGAGGAAAATAATCTTAAAATTGTGTTTCTTGAATATAGAATTAGAGATAAGTGACCCAAACAAATATCTTTGGTGATTTATGTGGATGGCAAGTTTTCTTCCTCCCCCCCCCCTCATTTAAAGGTGGCATGTGACATATCATGAACGTAAACTAGGTCTCATTGGTATAGTATTGTTATAGTGCAAATTGCTGTTGATTGAGTTTAAATCTTCAGTAATTAACAGAACTCCAAGGATCATCAGCATTTCACAGTTTCCCTCTGTAATACAGAAATTACACATTTTCTCTTTGAAAAATATCATTGTTTCATTAAATCATTTGGTAATTTAGGTTATTGTTTAAAAAAAAACAAATTGACATAGGCTTAAACAAATTCCTTCTTTACCATTTTTATTGTATTTAAGCAGTAGCTACGGCTTTCTGGACAGTAGATTGTTTTCCCCCAGATACTTTATAAATTGTTGAATACTGAACTCATCTATACTAAACATTGTTTTAGTAATGCCTTTTTTTCCTCTTTAGAAAAGTGATAGGTGACCATGAACTATAAGATAACATTCAGTGTGTTAGCTTTTGCATATTTACTGCATCTACAATATCATCAATTGGAAGGCACGCTAGCATTTTGCTTATTTTACTCATTTCTAACAAGACAGCAGCTAAATGATAAGGCACTGACAATTTTATACCATGCTCCTATTTGTGACATGTCAACTCTTTGTACATGGAATTGTTACTCCTATTATGTACCATTAATGCCTGGGCCGATGAAGGAACACTGATTGAAAATTTCATTCAGAACAACAAATGTGTTTACAATGATCCAAAAGCCATTACTGAAGCTTATATGAATAGAAAATGAGTCATTTCCCTCAGTATTAAATGTTCCTATCAAATAGCATTCACTATGCAGGAGTATTCTTGAACAAACTCTGTTCTTAAGTTCCCATTAAGCTACATTGCACTCAGGACCTGTTTAACATACTGTATTATCCTTAAAAGAGACTCTTAAAGGGAAAGCAAGGCGGAGCCCTGTCCATTGATTTTCCTGCACACTCTTCATGCCTGCTGTTCACAAAGCACCCCCTCTCTGTCGGTATTTGCATGCTTGAGGGTTGGTGTCCTCTATGTCTTCTATGTGATTAAGTGTCCACAGCCACTCTGCTCTTTGAAGGCTGTGGTGTGGTAGAACATTGAAACTGTAAGAATTTTTATGCCTGGAGACTAGAACTTGAACTAGATTTGCTAAATTTTATATTCAAATGATCAAAATGTAGTAAAGTAGGAGACTGTTGCCCATCTTTTTCTGACAAAGTAGATAGTGCTTGAATTCATGGATATATCAAGCTAACTTAATCCTCTAGATCCAGAATAAGATTCAAGTTGATGATTCAGAATCAAACATAACCAACATTAGACCTCTGTTTTGATAAAGCACCCAAAACAGGTGCAAATTTGGACAGTATTTTAAGCAAACATTTGAAAATGTTTAATTTGAAGTTAGATACCACATTCCAAAGGCCCTCCTTTTACACTTTATAATCCTTTTATCATTTAAGGTATTTAACTATTTCCACCAGTGCAATAGCTCTTTAATAATTTAATGCTAAGGTAATTTAGAAGGCAAGAAGAGTTTCCTAAAAGCTGCATTAACATTTCAAAAAGAAATATAATATTCTGCTTCTTCCCTCAAGTATAAGTTGGCAAGTCTCATTAATATTGCTTAGGCAAAAGCTGATTAGCATTCTCCACTGTGTGAAATAGAAAGATCCCACAAACAGCAAGAACAAAAGGCAAAGCACTGAATGCTGGCAGCAAGAAGAGCTCGTGTAATTCACACTCTCCCGGCTCCGCTTCACTCCCCCAGGCGTATGTATACCATCCAGGGAGCAACTGGCCATACAGCGCTGCGGGTTGCCATGTGCTGCTACTAACATGGGAGGGAGCAAAGGGTTTACACTCTAAATAGATGAAAATTTATATGGTCATGCATTTACAGGTTCAAACCAATGTTTGTAAATAAGCCACATCTGCCAGCTGTTGTGCAGGTCTCCATGAACTGTGGGTGTGAAAGAAGGCGTGCCATGTCACTTAAGATGGACAAATGATTTGATTAAGGGCAGGTGGGTGGACAGGGAATAAAGCTTGGTAAACTAATTGTTCCGCATGATATAGTTTCTATTATTTCCACCAAACAGATCTTTTCCAGTTGCATCTAAAACCTCATTTGATTGCACTGCAACGGCTGGTTAACTAAAGCAATTTTGTTTCCAACTAAGCCTGCAATATTAATTGTACTTACACATGTATAAACATAAGGGGGGCCTAATTTGTATTTTAATAACTAGGATCTTTGTGTATGGCTTATTAGTGCCAGCTTGTCACTGTGCAGGCTGAGTGGAGATGTCTACCAATTGGCCAGTAAATAAAACGTTTGCAAACCCTGTTAGCTTCTGCTGCACGGGGAAAATAAATGAGAAGAGGGACATTTTCCTGGTGAAGTTGAATGTTATTGAGGCAATCAGGTGAATTTAGTACTTCAAAATAACTTTAACTCTGTAATTGTCAAAAGCATTTTGCCACATCATATATTGAAATGTTCTTTTAATATTACAACATTCAGAATTTTGTGTTTGTGTCAGTAAAATTCATAGGCCCAGCATTCTGTATTATTTCATCCATCCCTATTCACTTCTTGGAATTGCATCATTTTGTTAATCATAGCACAAATTATTTGTGAATGAGAAAACATACTGTACTTATTTTAATTTTAATGCATAAAGACAAACAGTCTTCTGTGGGACAGACAATTTGGTGTACATGCTTGATAAGAAAGGACTCGGTTTTGTGAATAAAAATTGGAGGATGGCTTGCTGTCTTCCTAAGTGAATAAATGAATTTGATGGATCATCAAGATAGTTTCAGCCTGTGATTCAATTTTGTTTTTCTTATTTTCTCCCTCTGATTGGTTCACTTGCATATTTAATTTTTGTGGCATTACTGATATATGCAAAACCTTTTTAAATTACTGCTATTTTGATGCTCCTAAAGAATTTTTCCTCATCATAAAAATAGATTTAAAAGAGCCACAGTGCAAAATTAATGTGCCCAAATACTGGGAAAGGAAGCAATTCAGTGAAAAAGAATTGGACTAAATTTTTGTGCTTTAAACGTATGTGCTCATGATGAAAGTACAACACACCAGAGTAGTTTATGACAACTGCGAATTTTTAAAGTGTAGCTTAATCTGGGTAATAACTCATATCTTGATTCTTATATTGAAAAGGGAAAGCAGCATATTTAACTTCTTGTTATTTGGCAAAAAATATTGCTTTTACTCTCAATAAGATTTCTGGGTGTCCACTCTGACCTCACATCTTAATATTAAAATTAAAGCCTGTTAGAACATTGTATGTTGAGTAGCATATGGCCCTCTGTAAGACACTACCACAGCATATCCTGAGATAATAAAAATTTAGATATTACAGCGGCTGTGTGAGATACTTTCCTGCCCTTGCTGTCTACTCAACAAGGGAGGGAGAAGTTAGAAGGCTGCTCCTCACTGAGGAATGAGACCTGGTCTGCATGTTCCTCACTGAGGAATGAGACCTGGTCTGCATGTTCCTCATGATCATTCTGCTGCCTCCATGTTCACAGAT